AGATGCGCGATTACAATTACACAATGTAAAGTTGAAACACAGATATTATTCTAGTTGTTATGAAGAGACATTCCATATGAGTGACTCGAGTACCTTACGCAGGTTTGTCAATCTCGAAGAATAGATTTTTCTAACAATTACATCATTCGCTGTAAGTCATTTTGCTTTGGAGAAAATAAAGTTTTCTGAAGATCTGAGTTCAAAAAAACCCGAAAATTGACCAATTTCAGCTTTTTATGTATAAAATCGTCAGTTTTCGTTAGACTTTTTTGAACGACATTCTATTAGACAGAGCGTACAAAACAAAATTTAGTATTCAAAAATATTTTAAAGTTAAGATAGTAGTCGCAAAAAACAATTTACTAAAATTTTGAGGTTTTGAAAAACTGACATTTTTGTCGAAAAACGTGAATATTTTAAGCAATCAAACGGAAATCTATAATAAAGTTTTGATATTTTAATAGAGCAAACAATTCTGCATCTGACGCGTTGCTTAAAAATGACAAAATCGATGCAACTCAGGATCAAAATGGTCACACAATAGCCAGAGCTGGAAATGACCAAAACACAGAAAATGCTCTGCTTTGGTCAGAAACTTTTCAAATTATTTCTGATTCTTCTGAGTCTGTATTGAAGAAAAGCACAGCAGTCCTTCCTTACTAAGTAAGTGCTTACTGGGTAAGGACAGTCTATCTCATAAAGATAAAACTGCGATTCGTTTAAAATTAGTATCAGTACTTACTGAGCAACAACTACCCCAGCCAGACTAAACTTTGAAATTATTACAAGTGTATTAATTGTGTTATTACAAGAATTTTCAGTATTTTTCGAATATCTGGAGAAGGAAACCATAATTTTAAAAAATAAAAAAATTAACCTAAGATAGAGCCTAAAGTATCTTTGGCAAAAAATTGAGTTAGATCGGGCCATTTTTTCGAGGGGTCGTAATGTTACTGGTGGAAAACCAGAGTTTTCTAGAAAACCCATAGAAGAACATGTGAGAAAATTCTGGACAAAAATATAGCGATTTTCTTTTTCGATCTTCTATCTCTGCTATAAATTTGAGCTCAATTAGACATGTACTCCGCATTTGGCAACAAGGTGAAAAAGAGGCGGGAGGAGGGGGTTACACTTAACCACTTTCATAAAATATGTAAAACGTTTACTTTAATAGATATTTTAGATCAATTGAGTGAAGAAGAGTGTAGAAAATTAAAATTTTTATTAGGTAAAGATATACCTCGTCGTATACGTGATGATCCAACGATCGGTGGTACATTGGATCTCTTTGAACAACTACTTGAGAGATGTAAAATACCTGCAAAAGAATTTAAGTATTTAATCGAAGCGTTTGAAGGTATAAAATGTATTGTTGCAACCTGATATATTAAAGGGTGAGTGTATTGTAATTTAATTCACAGTTTGTCGGAGAAAGACAGAATAGTCAAGAGAGGGTATGCGAGAATAACTACTAATTAGGAAGAAACGACCCGGAGGTCGAAATTAGTTTCGTTCTTTGCATCCTGGTATGAAAGTGCATCTCAAATAAGTCGCACAAAAAAAATCTCAGCATCTGAGGGCAGTCGCAACATATTTTTTTCTAACGTCTTTTCCTACTGCTATCGATGTAGAAGCAATTTTAGCACCTTTTAGTAATTTCGTCGGAGAAGTCGCTGAGAGTTCGTCTACATATTGAAAGCTCTAAAAAGTAATTAAAACCTTTCTTAATAAAGCACAATTGTAGCCCGCAAATTTCTGATTAGATATTTATTTTAGCAATAGTACACAAGTCTATAAACACATTTTTTATGAATATGACCTTTTTATGAATTTCCAAAATCGACGAAACAACTTTAAATGAATTTCTCGATGAATTTCGAAATTTTGTTTTGCTTCGGGCATCAAAATAATCAATTTTTGAAAACTCTGATCCGTTTCTTTACGGATATATTGCTTGGAAGGGAAAACCATACAGGCTTACAGTGAAGGAAAAGATTACCGAGAAGTTCTAACGATGTTTTTCAGCGGATTGTGCAAAGATAAAATCATAAGTCATCGTAAAATAACAAATGCTAATTTAGATGATTG